AGAGCAGGAACCCCTAATTAAGTATCTCGGGCGTAACGAGGCTCTTGGAGCACTAATTATGCCGGGTGGGAGCCGGAGGAAGCGGCAGGGACCCCTCGTCAGGATCCCTCCGGCACAACAAGGACCTTGGAATGCGGGGTGGGAGCCCGAGGAAGCCCCGGGGACCCCTCACCGGGATCCCTCCGGCACAACAAGGACCTTGGAATGCGGGGTGGGAGCCCGAGGAAGCCCCGGGGACCCCTCGCCGGGATCCCTCCGGCACAACAAGGACCTTGGAATGCGGGGTGGGAGCCCGAGGAAGCCCCGGGGACCCCTCGTCAGGATCCCTCCGGCACAACAAGGACCTTGGAATGCGGGGTGGGAGCCGGAGGAAGCCCCGGGGACCCCTCATCGGGATCCCTCCGGCACAACAAGGACCTTGGAATGCGGGGTGGGAGCCGGGGCGGGCGGCGGGCGCTGAAAGCCGATCGGGGCCGGGAGGTCGGAGGGGAGGGGAGGTCGCGGCACTTTCCGGGAGGTAATTTGGGAATATTAGCCCGGCGCGTGCGGATGGAGCCGATAAGGCTGACGGACACGGAACACCCCGGAGCGCGGCCGGGGGGGCCTTTGGAAGCCTCGTGGTGGAGAAGTTTTGGGATAAACCGGGATGTGGGGGGGGTGTTTCCCATGGCGAGGGGGGATTTGATGGCGCACGGTTGGGATGAGTGGGATGAAGCAACTTCCCGGCCCTCGCTGGTGTGATCCAGGTGGGAATGCCGGCCCTTGGGAAAGGAGGAGGAGGGGGGGGGGGAAATCCCTTAGATTTTTCCAGGGTTGCTTTTGAAATCTTTTTGTCCCGACAAACTTCCAAAGCCACAACCCAGCCCTGCCCCAGCCCTGGAGGGAAAAAAAAAAAAGGGCTTAAAATAGGCATAAAAAGCACTTAGAAAGGCATAAAATAGATAATAAAATAGATATTAAAATAGATATTAAAATAGATATTAAAAGTATTTAGGTAGATAGGAAATGTATTTAGGTATCAGAGTAGATATCAAATGTATTTAAATAGATAAAAAGAGATGTGCATTTAGATATGGACTAGATGTGTGTTTAGATGTAGAATAGAGATAAAACCTATTTAAATATATATAAAAGAGATATCAAATGCCTTCAGATATAAAATGGATATAAGATGCACATAGACAAAGGACAGATATGAAACGTATTTAAATCAACATAAAACAGATACAAATTTGGAACCTTCAATACAGACGTAACAAAATAAACGTCGTTAAATCAACGTAAAATAGATATAAATGCACTCAAATTGATGTAAAATAGAGATGCCATGATTTAAATCAACACAAAATAGACATGTGACGATTTAAATTGATCTGAAATGGACACGTGATGATTCAAATTGACCCAAGATAGACATGCAGAGGTTTAAATTGACCCAAGATAGACATGCAATGGTTTAAATTGACCTTGGATATGCGATAGTTTAAATCTATACAAAACAGATAGGATGATCTAGCTAAAGGCAAAATAGATAAACAATGCATTTAAATAGATAAACGATGCATTTAAATAGATAAACAATGCATTTGAATAGATAAACAGTGTGTTTAAACGGGTATGAAACCCATTCAAATAGGTATAAAATGCATTTAAATTGGTATAAAATGCATTTACACAGGTACAAATCGCATTTAAATGAATACAGAAGACACGCAGATGTACTTAAATCACCTAAGACGGACAACAAATGCCCTCAAATCATCTAAACCAGACACAAAAGGCATTCAAAAAGCCTTATTTACCTCCCCAGCCCCTCCACAATTGACGTTATTCCCCCCCGCTCTCTGTCTCTCCGGCTGCAGACCCCGCCGTGATTTCCCCCCAAGACCCCACCCTGCTGATCGGCTCCTCGCTGGTCGCCACGTGCACGGTCAGCCCGGACTTTCCGCTGAAAGCCGAGGACCTGTACTGGACCCTGAACGGGCGGCGCCTTCCCGCCGCCTCCTACGCCGCCCTCGGGCCCTCCACGCTCAGCGTGGCCCTCGCCCGCCTCAACGGCTCCAGGCAGCAGTCGGGGGACAACCTGGTGTGTCACAGCAGAGACGGCGGCATCTTGGCCGGCTCCTGCCTTTACGTTGGACGTACGTCGGCGCGGTCGCGTCCCCCCGGCTCCCCCCTTGGTTCTCGCCAAGAGCTGCTCCACTCGGAGCTCCCCACGCCAGGAGAGGGCTGTTTTTGGCAAAAAAAAAAACCACCACCCCCCCCCGCGCTTGTCCGAATCAATAATCGTAAGATTTTTATCTCCGGGGCTATTTTTAAAACGAAAGGACGATGCTGACGCGCCCCGGGAATACGGGATCGGGACGGGGAATGCGGCTCTTGGATTTGTTTTTTTTTGGGTCGCTACGCCCCGGGGAGTACAGAGGCTTAGATGGGAATGCGGCTCGGATTTGGGGTTTGGGTTGCCGTGGCTGGAAAAAAAAACGGGCTCTGGAAAGTCTCGTTTTTGTTTTTTTGTCTCCCAGTACCCCCAGAAAAACCGGTCAACATCACTTGCTGGTCCAAAAACATGAAGGACCTGACCTGCAAGTGGGCGCCGGGGACAGAAGGAGAGACCTTCTTGCACACCAACTACACCCTCAAGTACAAGCTCAGGTGGGTGTTCGCCTTAATTCCGGTTATTGTTGAAAACACCGGCCTGGGATTTAATGGGAAACAGGGAATGTGGTGCCCGAGGCCTCCTGGCTGGCCCCTGTTTGGGGGTGGTGCTGCTGTGAAGAGTTTTTTGGGTCTCACGGTGCTGGGGAGGAGGAGGAGGAGGGTGAGAAGCCGCCGTGGCCCTGGTTGAGTTGGCACCGCTGGGTGAGCCATGGGGCCGGTAACACAATTCCAGCAGTGTGGAATGGCAGATAAACGGGCCGTGGGAGCGGCTCCTCCGGGGACGGGTGAGCACCCACAGCTCCCGGCGGTGCCGGTGCTCACGCCCTGCCCGCAGGTGGTACGGCCGGGACAACACCTGCCAGGAATATCACACGGCCGGGCCCTACTCCTGCCGCATCCCCAAGGACCTGGCCCTCTTCACGCCCTACGAGATCTGGGTGGAGGCGTCCAACCGGCTGGGGGTGGCCGTGTCCGACGTCGTCATGTTGGACATCCTCAACGTGGGTGAGCCACGCCGGGCGTGTCACCGTGTCACCGTGTCACCGGTGACCCCGCGGGGGAGCGGGAGGGGAGCTGGAGGAGGGTTCAGCGCTGGGATGGGGCGGAAGGGGGGGCAGCAGGAAATGGTCGATATGTGAGCAGAATTGCTCCTAATCGAATTAGGCTGTTTGCTCCGAGTGGGTTTTACATCTGCGGCTCCTTAACCCTCGCGGCCCCGCGGCGCTGCCCTGTCCCCGCAGTCACCACCGACCCGCCGTCGGACGTGCACGTCAGCCGCGTGGGGGACCTGGAGGACCAGCTGAGCGTGCGCTGGAGCTCCCCGCCGGCCCTCAAGGACTTCCTCTTCCAAGCCAAGTACCAGATCCAGTACCGGGTGGAGGACAGCTCGGAGTGGAAGGTGGGTCGGCATCGCCGGTGCCAGTGTGTGATCGCCGACCCCGCGCGGGTGCTCCCGTGATCTCCTCCCTCCCCAGGTGGTGGACGACGTGGGCAACCAGACGTCCTGCCGCCTGGCCGGCCTGCGCCCCGGCACCGTCTACTTCGTCCAGGTGCGCTGTAATCCCTTCGGCATCTACGGCTCCAAGAAAGCCGGGATCTGGAGCGACTGGAGCAATCCCACCGCCGCCTCCACCCCACGCAGCGGTGAGTGCCGCCAGCGCCGCTCGGGGGGTGCCGACGGTGCTGTGCTTCCCCCCCGGGATGTGCAGGGGGGCCCTTTCCCGCTCCGTGCCCAGCACCTGGATTTCTTGCAAAGGAGCCAATTTGGAGCGTGGCTTCCCCAGCTGGGAGCCAAAACCAGCTCGGTTTGCTCTCAGCCCTCGTTACTCACGAGGGGGAGGTTGAGGCGCTTCTTCCCCCCCGTGGCACTGACCCCCTTGTCCCCACACTGACCCCCTGGTCCCCACACTGACCCCCTTGTCCCCGCACTGACCCCCTGGTCCCCGCACTGACCCCCTGGTCCCCACACTGACCCCCTTGTCCCCACACTGACCCCCTTGTCCCCGCACTGACCCCCTTGTCCCCGCAGAGCGAGGGGCGGGGGGCTGCGACCCCAAAGGTGGGGAGCAAAACACGACGCTGCGGCGGGAGCTGAAGCAGTTCTTCGGGTGGGTGAAGAAACACGCCTACGGCTGCTCCAACCTCGGCATCAAGCTCTACGACCAGTGGCGCGTGTGGCTGCAGAAATCGCACAAAACACGCAACCAGGTAGGTAAGGAGCCTTTTCGCACTTCTTCTCCCCGGCTGGGTGGGAACGGGGGGGGGTGGGACGTGGGGTGACCCCCCTCACCCCCCAGGGATGCTGGGGGGTGACGCCGACCCCGGGGCGACGCGGGGCTCTGCTCCTCTCCGCAGGTTCTTCCCGGCGATAAGTTGTAGCCCGCGGGGGACCGAGCGCCGGCAGGATGGGACGGGGCGCCCGGCGCCCACCCGGGACCACCCGCGCCCGCCCCGGCCCCGCCGTGGGGGAGCAGGGAGGCGGCCGGGGCGCAGCACGGCCCCGCAGCCCTGGGGGCCGGGCTGGGGTGAGACTGGGGGGCCGGGCTGGCCCAGCCCCGGGAGCCCCTCACGTGCTGCTGGCCCCGGACCGCGGCCCCCCGCGCCCCGCGGCAGCGAGGGGACCCCCCGGCCTTGCCCAGCCAGGGGGGACACGGGGACTTTGCTCCTCAACCGCCAGCCGGGGCAGCCTCTGGGATGAAAGGGGCAGTGGGGGCTTCCCGGGTGACCCCCAGCCTCGCCGCAGTGCCCCCCGGGAAGCGATTTTGGCCGTTTTCTCCCCGGGGATCCGCCTGCGGGTGCACGGGGAGGGCTCCATCCTCGGGGAGCCACGCGGGCTGGTTGGAGGCTGCTGGGGTTTGCCCAGTGCCTGCTCCAATTTTGATTCAAACCAGCCTTATTTTGGTTCCATTTCAGTCAATTAGGAACAGATTTAAGCTTAATGCCAATAAACCTCTGAAACCCCACCGGGGTCTGCGTCAGCGGAGCGGCAGCGCTGCGCGGGGACGGGGATGCAGCGGGCAGCCAAATGGGGCCTGTGGCCCTTGTCACCCCATCCCGGGGCTCCCAGGGGACCGAGCCGAGCTGGAAGGGGTGGCACTGTGGCAAGGGGGGGCCATATGACCCCTTCAGATCACACCACTCAGCCCAGCTCCACGGGGACAGGTTTATTTTGGATGACCATAAAAAAAGGCGCTTGTGGAGAACCAAAACCGCCGTGGGGTTGGGGGCACAGTTGATCCCCAGGATGTGGTCTGGGGGGGGCTGCTGCCCCTGGGCTTCCAGTGGGCAGCACAGGCAGTGCCCACCTCGATGGGAGTCAAAGCAAGACAGCCCATTGGCACTGCAGGTCGTGGTTTTCCTTTGGCACAGCCCCGTGGAGGGGAACCAGCCCCGTGCCAGACCCCTGTGCTGAGGGATACTCAGGATTTAGGGGCACCCCACTTCTCCCAGGAGGGGGTTTCTCTACCCCTTCCAGCCCGTGCTCAAGAAAAGGGGTCGAGAGGACGATGCCCACCTTGCCAAGGTGCCTGGGCGGCTGCACTGGGAGCGGGTGGGGGGCGAGCGGGGCCCCCATTCCACCAGCCGGCCCCTCCAGCCGTTCCCACGGGGACACCCATCACTCAACTTCTTCCGAATCGTACTTGAGGTCCTGGAGAATTTCGCTGATTGCCTCAATGGTTTTAATTAGCCTACGAGAGCGGATGGAAACTATAAATAAAGCCCATATGGAGCGTATTATGTGGGCCGCCCTCGCCTTCCCCGCGCTGTTTATGAAACACTCAGCCCGGGGAGGCCGAGGGGACGCGGCCACGCAGCACCGCCAGACCCCGAAGGCACCATCTGGGCCCCCCTGGGCCACAGGGAGGGAGGGGAAACGCAGGGAAGGGGCTCCCGGGCTGGACTCCACGATCCGCGCGGGTCCCTTCCAATGGGTCCCTTCCAGCTCAGGACATCGCGTGATTCCGTGGGCTGGGGGGATGTTGCCACCCCGAAGTGGGGGGACAAGGGGGATGGCAGCAGGGCTCCTGGGCTGGGGGGGGGCTGCTGCCACCCCAAAATGAACAGGGACAGCAGTGGGGCCACCACCTACTTGTGCTTGAGCTCCTGCACCTCCTGCTGATGGACGTCCACCTCGGGCTGGTCCTGTGCCTGCTGCCGGGCCAGCTGGAGCTGCGCCGTCTGCGGGAGGGACACCATGGGAGCCCAGAGACACCCCCCAAACGAGCCCCAGGGACCCCCCCCCCAGCCCGGCACCCACCAGCTGCAGCTTCTCCTGCTCCCGTTCCTGGAGCCGGGCCAGGTGCTGGGCCAGGTCGGGGCGGCCCAGCTCATCCCGCAGGCGCCCGGCGATGCCCAGCACCTCCCGGGAGATGCCGCTGAAGGCCACGGTGACCTCGTGCACCAGCTGCCGGTACCGCGGGAAGTCATAGTGGGGGGCACTGCTCAGGTACGCCTGGTGGCCCCTGCGGACAGGTGAGGGGGGTGGAAAGCCACTGTCACCACGCCCGGGGGCCACCGGGATGGCAACAGCCCGAGATCCTCCTTCTGCAAAAGCTCCTTTTGCCACCCGCCACGGGCAGCACCGGGAGGGTTCTCCTGCCTTCCTTCCTTCCTTCTCCTCCTGCCTGGATTTGGCAGCTCCCCCATGACCAGGTGGCCTCACCCCTCGCACGGGAAAAGGTTGGAAACTGCTTTTTTTTTGGAGGGAGTGTTGGTTTTTTTTATCCTTTTCGCTCGTGAAGCCCATCGTCTCCTGCTGGATGCTAAAACAGGATTCAGGTGTCCAGCACAGCGTCCTGCTGCCAGCTGGAGCTCATCAGCCGCCCCGACCGCGGGGTCCCGGAGGGATGCAAAATAATCAGGATGGGGGATTTAGTTCGTTTTGCCGGGGATTCAGTGCCTTGCCGGGGATCCCCTGCCCTGGGAGGTGCCCCGTGTGCCCCCACGTGCCCGTCCCCGCGGTGGTGCCGGTACTCACTCCTCGAAGAGCCGGTAGGTTTCGACCCTCTCGCCCTGGAGCACCTGCAGCCGCCGCAGCAGAGCCTGCACGGCCTCGCCCGTCTGCGGGACACCAGGGGACGGTGACGGGGACATCATGGCACCGGTGACCCGGTAAGGGGCTCTGGGCAGAGCCGGCACTGCCCGGGGGTCTCCCCCCTGTGCTGGGGTAAGACCCCCCCACACACACTGCCCAGTGCCCGTCCTGGGGGGACCCGGGTGGATTCCGGCCGCGGTTCTTGAGCTCAGCCCAGCACCAGCACCAGGGATGCCCCATCCCATTGCTCACACACCGGGAATCCCCAGCCTTGAGCACACAACACAAACGGGCATCGGGACACCCCCCCCCATCCTGCCCATGCACCGGGACCCCCCAGACACGTGCCCGGAATACAACCGGGCACTGGGACCCCCATTCCACTCGTGCATGGATGGGCTCGGTCCAGGGACCCCCCCCGACCTTGCTGCCTGTGCACCAGGAGTCCCCCTTCTATCTATGCCCAGTCCAGCACCGAGACCCCCCCATCGCTGCACTCACGCACTGGGACCACCCCGGACCGGACCGGCTCTGGGACTCCCCATCCCGGTGCCCACGCACCGGGAGCCCCCCGGCCACTCGCACACCCCACGGACGGGCACCGGGACCACCCCGTCCACTCGTGCACGGACCGGACCGGCACCAGGCCCCCCCCACCCCGCTGCCCACGCACCGGGACCCCCACCAATGTGCACACAACGCGGAGGGACACCGGGACCCCCCATCCCGCTCCCCGCGCACCGGAAGAGCCCCGCCCGTTCCTAAACAACGCAGAGGGGCAGCGGGACCCCCCACCCACAGCCCGGCCCCATCCCGTGACCCCCCCAGACCACACATTCACTGCTCGGTCCCCAGAGCCCCCCTCGCCCCCTCCCCGTGCCCCGGGGCCGCTCCCGGTGCCGCTCACCATGGCCCGGTGGCGGCTGAACGGCGCAGGCCCGGGGGCCGCGGGGCGGAGCGCGGCTCCGCCGCCACCTGCAGGCACCGGCCGGCAGCGCCCGTGCCCTCCCCGGTCCCTCCCCGGTGCCCGCTGCCCCCTCCCCGGTGCCCGGTGCCCGGTCCGGTCCGTGCGCACGCCACCGGCGGGGGTCCCGCTGCCCGTCTGTGTTGTGTGCGGGGGGTTCCCGGTGGGTGGGAAGGGGGTTCTAGTGGGGTCCCGGTCCCGGTGCAGCCGTTGGCCGGGGGGGTCCCGGTGCTCATCTGTGCACTGTGCACACAGCCGGGGTTCCCGGTGGGTGGGCAAGGGTGTGTAGGCAAGGCCCAAGTCCATGGACGGGGGGGTCCCGGTGCCGGTCCGTGGCCCGGGGGCTCCTGGTGTGTGGCCGGTGGAGTGGGGAGGGCCTGGGACCGAGCTGGACACGGGGACAGGGGTGGGTCCCAGTGCCCATCTGTGTTGTGTGCACATGGTGGGGTGGCCCACTGGGTGGGCAGCGTGTTTTTTTGGGGTCCCGGTGCCAGTCTGGACCTTGCACTAGTGACAGGGGCGTCCCAGTGCCGGTCTAGTCCATGACTACAGGCACCACCCGGCACCGCTGCCACCTCCATCCCCCCCTGCTCCCCTCCCTCTCCTTTATTCAAAACCACACATCTTTGGGTAAAAAAACACCAGAAAACGGGGCTGAGCACTGCAACACTTTATTGGTCAGCACAGGCAGGGCCCGTGGCTCTACTTGACCTTCTTCTTGGGGCGCAGGTTGTTGGTGTGCCCACACTTCTTCTTGCGGCAGTTGACGGCGCGGGGGTGCAGGCGGGCGTAGCACCTGGGGGGGGGACACAGGTCAGGACAGCCCCGTGTCCCTGGGGAGGGGGACAGGGAGCAGGGGGGAGCTGTGGGAAGGGGAGGGGGACACACAGGGGGCCGTACTTGCGGCAGATCATCTTGTCGCAGTTGTACTTCTGGGCGAGCTGGCGCAGGGAGGGCTCGATGATCCCGCCCCGCAGGCGCAGCACCAGGTGAAGGGTGGACTCTGGAAGGAGAGATCGGTGTCACGGCGGGGTCAGGGAGCACCTGGCACCCCGAAAACATCGCTCCCCCCTCCAAAAACCCCCCAAGGGTCCAGGGAGCACCTTTCTGGATGTTGTAGTCGGCGAGGGTGCGGCCGTCCTCCAGCTGCTTCCCCGCGAAGATCAGACGCTGCTGGTCGGGGGGGATCCCTGTGGGGGAGAATCACCGTGGTGGGGGCACTGGGGGACCCCCACGGGGCTGCCCCGCTGCTCCCTGGCCCTGCCAGTACCTTCCTTGTCCTGGATTTTGGCTTTCACGTTCTCGATGGTGTCATTGGGCTCCACCTCGAGGGTGATGGTTTTGCCCGTCAGGGTTTTCACGAAGATCTGCATCTTGGCACCGTTTTTGTCTGTGGGAGCGGCGGCTGCGTCACGCTCTGAGTGGGCCCGGGGGTCCCGGTGTCCACTCCCAGCAAGGACCGACCCCTCAAACCCCCATTCCCAGTCCCTGAACCCCCATTCCCGAGCCCCTAGTCCCCCACCCCGGGATCCAGCCACACCTGGGATTCAGCCCCTATCCCGGGATCCAGTTCCCCCCTCGCGGAATCCGGGGCCCATCCCGGGATCCAGGGTCCCTTCCCGGGATCCAACCCCATCCCAGGATCCAGTCCCCCTCATCTGGGGCCTGGCTCCCCTCCCTCCAGATCCAGTCCCCTCCCCGGGCTCTAATATCCCCAAATCCCGGGATCCGGTCCCTTCCCCGACATCCAGCCCGCCCCTCCCGGGATCCGGGGCCCACCTCACGATCTGAGGCCCATCCCGGGATCCAGTCCGCCCCTCCCGGGCCCCACCCTGGGATCCTGTTCCCGCCTCCCGGGACCCGGGGCCCATCCCGGGATCCCGCTCCCCCCTCCCGGCACCCGGGGCCCATCCCGGGATCCCG